TAGTCTTGCACTAAGCAGACACATCTGTGATAGAGGCACTGCATTATGAGTTATGACTATATTCATTATTAGATGGCAGTAGAGTTGCAACTACAAAAATAACAATTAATATGGCATTAAAAATCAAGCCAATCCATTTCAGTCAGTCCTAATGCTAATATCCATGTCTATGTCCATACTTTGATGCATTCCTTAATCCTCTTCCACCTACATGTACAATAAATGAATACAAGTGAGGAATTTAATTAACTGATTGTACATGTACATGATGAAACATGAGGTTTACTGACCTTGCTTCCTCTGCCTCTTGTATTTCTGATCTCTCTTTATCTGTTAACTCTTTCATTGTCTCTCTATTGTCTCTAAATAATTATAAACAGTAAGAGGTGTATGTAAGTGTGTGTGTATACATAATGTGTGTGTGTGTTCATTAGTACTTGTAATATATGACATATCCATCATTATATAGTCCTAATGAGTATGGTCTGTCTGAACTGATGGAATGCCATTTCAACTTATTCTCAATATCAAGACATGATATCTCAACTGGAAATGATCTTCCCTAATAGAGTCAGAAAGAAATAGTATTTTTAAAATGTTTTAATGATTAACCAGTGAAAAAGAGATATACTCAACAGGAACTCCACTTAACTCTGAAAGCTGTAAAAACAATAATAATGTGATACTGACACATGTTCCTTATTATAAATAATACCTTTCCAATAACATGCTTAGGATCATATGTATTATCCAGTATAATTTCTTCTATTGGATCAACTGAACATTGTGATGGACACCATCTTATAACATACACCTGTCTCTGTCCTTCATGCTTCTTCTCTGGTCCTAACAAAATAATACACTAGCTAACTTTAAACTTACTATAAAATGCATCTAGTACATACAGTACAATATACTGAAGATATAACTGAGATATTGTACAAAAGTAAAGATCAACGACAGTTTATAACAAAAAGATAGCTATGATAAAGACGAAGGACTGAACTCAGGAATATCCACCCACATTAATAACAATTATAATAATACACTATACACATTAATACTAACACATACAGCAGATATACTGACCTTTCAATGGTTCCACATACATTTCATTACTAGTATTAATCAACTGATGATCAAGATATACTAAACGAGGGAACACTCCTCTCTTGTCATGTGCACGTAATCTCATTCTACAAATAAGTCACATGATAGTCACATAATGTACACCATATAGTTTATGGGTATAAAATTTAGCGATTTGGCTGAATTTTTGTATTGCAAATAAAAATTTCACAATTTTAATGCAATTACGACACCCACTACAATCACCACGCTATTTTGTGGATTTTAACTTTGTGGATTTTTGCAAAATGCAAAAATTGCAAAATTTAATCCCCACAAAATATATGGCATATACGGTACTTACTTGTCTAATTCAAGGACACAGTCAATTTCTTGTACTTTTGCTTCTTCAATAATTTTTTTCTTAAATTCTCTCACTGGTGTACCCTCAGCATAAATAGACTCCATCATAAACTTACAAAACTAAAGACAAAAAAATCAATACAAATTATAATAATGAAATATTCTTATACTTCTGTATTGTTAACTTGTAATAAATATAATTTTATTCTTTTTTCTCCTCTTCTTAATGCTCTACCCAGTCTTATTATCAACTAGTAGTATAAACAATTATGAAGTTAATCAAAATAACACACATACATGTACCTCTGATCTAGATTTTAATATCTCATCCATTCTTTCGATTGCATATTCTTCATTATATCTGATTTTATACACCATAAAACCAGTAGATGGTGCACCAATCAGTGGAACTAGCTCCTCCTTCAATTGAGCTAATGTTATTCTAGTATCAATCAATACCTGTATCTCTGTATTGAATAATAAATGATTAATTAAACACTGTATAGCTAAAAACATTCGCTGAAATTTAATTTTATTATTGCTGTTTATTACAAAAATGCACAATTTAATTCCACAAAGCATTGATGGGTGTATCGTATAAGAGCTCACACTTAAACCAGCAAAATTAAATTCCACATACTGTAGGGCACTCTTTTTTTTCAGGACTATAAATTTCAAGTTCCTTTTTTAGTGAAAGTAAATTTCACAAATCATACCTCCCTCACACCCTTTAACTGACACAATTGTTCTCTGAGGTACATGATTTGACAGAGGACCAGCAGAGTTTGAAAAAGCCAAAAAAGTTCCAAAAATGCCATTTTTACTTTAAAATAGAGGTGGCATGAATGTAAAATTTTAGCATTCAAACATTTTATTGACCAAAATGAACAAATGTTTAAATGCTTGCACCATGGAATTAGATTCTTATTAGTCAATTAGTTTGTTGTTTAGATCACTTTAATTAAATGCAGGACCCTACACGTAGAGTGTATAGCTCAATGACTAATGATTTTTACGCCAGATCTTATAACTAAATAAGTTATGGTATGTCATTGATTAGTAGGTGTGTCAGTAGGTGTGGTACATACAACACCTCCTGATGCACTTACATGTACTTAGTACATTCAAATGCCTGCTGCAGCATTCAATGTTCTTCTTAACAAACGAACATTCAAATGTTCCAACATTAGTCCCAGCCCTACTTTAAAATGCCCTGTAAGGCTGTAACATGCTGACATATCCTCTTGCAATCATAATCTTTTATTTGAAGCCACAATATTCGTGTTTTCAGGGAAAATCAACAAAATTCACAAAATATATAGCCCTCAAAAAAGAGTACCCTACACATTAAATTTTGCGTTAGCACAAAATTGCAATTATAGTACAAGTTAATACTTCTTTCTTTTCCTTTATTTTCCATTGATATAATTTTCATTTTTATTCTTCCTCCAGTTACATTAGTTTTAGTGGGTGTGGCTTCAGGTCCAGGAGGTATTGTAATGTCCAGTAGTATTGAGTTGACAGGAAGACCAACATATTTGTACATCAAACTATCTTTGTATTCTTTTTGATAATCTTTAAGATCTGATGATACATACACTAACTGAAAGGAAACAGTATGTGTGTGTGTGTAAAGACAATAAAGAGAATGAAAAAGGAGTACAAATTTTAAAAAGAGAAAACAATTCTAAATCATGATAGGTTGATAATAGCTATAGTATGAAATATTGGTAGTGATTCTAGTGAATTAATATTGGTGAATTCAATTACATGTAGCATTTACAATGTGCATAAAAATTTCTCAATATAAAATAAGTCGTTTTGTAATTTTTACTTCATTTGCATATACACATGGGCTAGCTAAATCTGTATTTTTTTGGAGAAATCACAAACAAAACTCTCATCAAAATATTCCATTACAGTAATAATGTCAGTACTTGTCTGTTTTCGTATGTTGACTTTCTCAATATCTTGTCCAAAGTACATCCTAGATCACTAATATCAGTAACACCATCATGATTCTCCATTACTAATCTCATGCATGATGAATTGAGACTATATACCTAGAGAAAGAAGGATCAGATCAATGGAGGGAGGGAAGGCAAACGATATAATGAGACACCTACGATGCTTGGACTCACCGCAGTTGCTTTTGCATTTATGCACTATGAAAAGCAATGAATCATGGGCTTAATTCATCTCTATTATGCATCATGACAGAGACTATGAGCAAGATTCATTGCTTTTAATAGTGCATGTTTGCACTGACTCAAGTCAAAAGAGCTTTAAAACTAACACCTATTATAATGGCACAGATACTGTTAACAGTCTTGATAAATTTTATTTGCCTAAGAAATCATGCATAAGACAGCAAATAAAAAATTATGCATAAAGAAAGGCAAGCAGCAATGCAAGCATGTAAAATTCCCAATTATTAATAGAGGCATGGTTTCTTGGCCAATAAAATGGCCTTAGCATGACATGTGACTGAAGGAGCTTAAGTTTTTTCTTCTTACAAGTGACTTATGACAAGTAATATGGCACAATACTGCTGCTTAGATATACTTAAAGAGTTGAGAGAGTCTAGCACTACTAGCCTGCCACATTTCCGCCTCAACCCTTCACAAAGTCGGACGGCCAGGATGAAACTTGGAGCACTAATAATAAGTCTCTACTACTAAGTAAGAATTAAGAAATTTCACTCATACTATGAAGGTAGTTTTCTAATAGAAAATGGTATTGCCTATCTCCAGAGTGTCAGCACAATCGCTGTATTATTTAATTTTTCTCCCTTACTTTGCAAACAATGATTACACACATTTAAATTGTTCAATATATTTGTTAATTACGATGTCTTACTTTTACTTCTGAGAACATACATGTACATGTAAATGCTAAAGAAAATGAGATTTTTTGACTTAAAAACAATATTTTTAAGTTGCAGTTCAATTTACTGCAGTAGTTGACACATTGCTGTAAAATATGATCATAATTGTGTGTTACCATTTATATACTTTGCCATCATTTATGATTACTGTAATGATTATATGCCTTTAATGTGTGATTATAATTATAAGCTTCAGGATTTGCTTATTTATAATTAGTAACGCAATAGCATTTTAGTAATGTGGTAGCATTACTAAGTAGGATTCACCCCACTTCAAAATGGCTGCCACAACTTTTGCAGCCTTGCTATAGATGATAGATCTACCAGGAAAACGAGCTCCTATACTTACCAGACTTCTTAGAGGACCTTATCTTAACCAGAAAACTCCATTGGTACCACTAGTGTGGCTCTAAACCTTGTCTAAGAGGAAAGTCAAAAATTGGCAAAACACCAGGGCAGTTTGTTCAGCCACCTTTTTTCATCTTCATCATGATCAAGTCTGTCAATCCAGTTGTCAGTCGATATCTCAATCTTGCCTGGTGATAGAAGGCTAATTCTTACACCATTCCACTCCAACAGGGTATGCACAGGTCCTTGTCCCCTAGAATCATCTTCCAAGAAAGGAAGTAGTGATACTGTGACTGTTAGCTCGTACTAACTTACCTCATGCCGCCATTTTGTTAATTATAAAAGCATGTGCTCCAAAATTTGGGTGTGGTTGCGCATGTCTCTAGCTACCGTGGTATTACTATCTCCTCGGTCTTTGCTAAACTATACGAGAGACTCATTTTAGATCGCATGAGTCCCATTGTTGATATTCTGAATTTGCCAGACTGTTTACAGACTGCCTATCGTAAAGGTCTCTCATGCTCTGATGCTATCTTTTTCACTCAAGAGACTATCCTCTCATTTCTAAATGATGGTGGACATCCTCTTCTAGGTATGTACGATCATGAAAAAGCCTACGACTCAGTTGAGCATTGTGTACTACTGGAAAGATTATTGGAGGTTGGTGTAGGTGGGAGAGTGTGGAGAATTATCGCTAATTGGTACAGTTCTTCTGAAAGTAGTATTCGTCTTTCCTTCACTGTCTCCTCCTCTTTCTCTGTATCCCGAGGTGTCCGTCAAGGCTCCGTCCTGTCCCCTCTGTTATTCCTCATGGTTATGGACTCTCTGCTAAAGGACTTCAGGTGGAGTAATGTTGGTCTCTCCGTCTCAGGTTCCTTCGTGGGTGGAGCTGCTCATGCAGATGATGTTCGTACTGTTGCCTCCTCTTCTTCTGTTTTGCAAAAACAAGCAAATATTATCAACCAATTTACCACCACTAATTCCCTCAAATTGAATACATCGAAAACTGAGGTAGTACGGTTCTCTAAATCCTCTTTTATAGAGGGATCTGTTATCATAAATAATGAAAGTATAGACATTGTACCTGAAGCTAAGTGTCTTGGGGTTTGGTGGACTCACAACTTATCTGCTCATAAATCAGTTACTGAAAACATATGTAAAGCAAGGAGAGCCTTCTTTGCCTTCGGCAAGATGCATGCTTTCCAAGGCCATCTAAGCCCACTATCAGCTATTAGCATCTATAAGACGTGTGTACTACCAGTCTTACTCTATGGCAGTGATACCTGGCTACTAGATTCATCCTCCATTGATGCCCTGGAAAGGTTTCAATATGAAATTGGCCGAAAAATCTTAAGACTGCCTCATTTC